ACAGATAGTATGTACTATAATTATAGAGCTCTACAGTTTACAAAATACCCTAATCTCATGAGAACCTCATAAGCTTTTACCAGTGAAAGACATGAGATGGGACAAATAAACATATCTACAATTTAGGATGAATAACTTAGGTTTATAGTAGAAGGCTTATCTAAAGTTGCTAGGGTCTAGCTAGAAATGACAGGCATTAAGGTTTGTTGTCTCTAGCTGTTCAAGCATTAAATTTAGATGGGTGCATTTTAAAATTTTGTTTGTTGTTTGCTCTTATAGGGTACCTGGGACTAAGCTTGCCATCACAGGCCTCCAGCACGCAAAGCTTGCCCTTGACCTTTTGAGTTAGCTCCCTAGACTTGATCTTTATCAATAATATGGGCCACTAAAAGAAGGCTCAGATGCCAAAAGTAGCAGGTCAAATTATAATAAATATAACAGGTATTCTATGAGATATTTTCACTTTTAAAAGTATTGCTGCAGCATAATTTCCGTAACTAAAATAATTTAAATTATTGAATTCAATTCCCTCTACTTCTTCAGTTAAAGAAATTGATTTCAAAAAGATTGCTGCCAAAAGTTACAGTAAAAACACCTAACAGTAAGAATTACAATCTGGGCCACTGACTTCTACCCCAGTTCTCTTTCTTAGATGCTGGAAGTATATCAAAAACAACCAATTGGAAATTTTTGGTGGTAATAACTATGACTTTTATTTTCTTCTGAGAGATTACTACAAATGCAGTTGTATAGAAAGTAAAGCATTACTAATATAAAGATTTCTATTTTCTAAAAGTCAAATAAAATAAACATAAAGTAGGATGCAGAGCATCTTACATTGGTTTTTCTTGTGATATTTCAAAATTGTATAGAGTGAAAATAAGACTTACTACTTCATACAATATAATTGCTAAAACTTCGCCAGTTATATGAGAGAAATTAGTTTAATCCAAATTTATTAATTTAGATATACCATAGTTCATAATTTATCAGTACCTGAAGGACTATCTTGATGATGCCAATATGCTGATACAATTCTCATCTAAGCTACCTCATAGTGCCAACTGTACAGTAGAGTCTTTTTCAAGGAACAGTGAAAGGATAAGATGATGTATCCATTCAAATTTCAGTGAGAAAGAAATGACATACATTCCAACTCAAATCACGTTATTTCAAGTTTGAGAACAAAATATGTAAAGTGGTTCTTTAAAAAAAAGAACAACTTATTTGATAAAGAAATAAATTGTGTCATACTTGTAGGAGATAACAATAGTCATATTTTAAAAACTATTAACACAAATACTAACATTTGTATCTCATTTGTGCATTCTATTTCTGGCATAATAGCTTGAAGTTGTATTTAGCTAAGAATACTGTACAAGGGTTAAGATGCTTGCTTGCCTTGCATGTGACTGACCCTGGTTCAATCCCTGGCACCACGTGTGGTCCCCTAAGTACCACCAAGCATGATCTCAGAGCACAGAATGAAGAGTAATCCCTGAGGGAACAGTGAGGACTGTGACAAACAGCCTAAAGAACAGTCTCTCTGATTCTAATCCAACATTCCTTTTTCACAAATAAAAAGACTAAGCCCCCCCCAAAAAAAGAACAACTTAAAAAAAAGAACAACATATGTAAAGGTTCTAAATATATACATATATGTATATATGGGTATGGGTACAAGGGTGAGCAGTGGTATCTTGAATAGAGAGAAGAGCTAATATATCAAAGTAGAAGGTTCGCAGGTTCTTTGGAAAACAAAAACTCTTCCCATAGCACTATAAAGGGAGGAGACACGTGGGGAATAAAGCTTCTAGGGTCAGGTTCTAAAGGCCTTGAATAGTATGGAATCTCAAATAATTAATAGAAAATGAGAACCCCTAAATAACTTAACATAAAAGTATAGTGATTTGGTCTAGAAATACTAGGTTATAACAAACAATCTGGGAGAAAACATCTGATCGTTCACTAATAAACTCAGATTAAAAAATTCTGTTACAGATGTTTCAGATCAAATAGCAGTAATCCTATGAGGGGAAAATGGGGCAGTATGATCAATCACTAAAGCACACTTATATTTAAAAAGACAGTCTAAAACATATTTTAAGGTTTATTTGTTTCATTTTTGGCTTTTGTTCTGCATCTGGCTGTGTTCAGAGGTTATTCATGGTTCTGTGCTCAGCGATCACTTCTGGTGGAGTGGCGATCACTTGGAGAAAGGATGGAGCCTACTTCTGCCATGTGCAAGAGAAGCGCTGTACACATTGTACTAGTGCTCCTGCCCCTAAAGCAGATATGAAACACACACACACACACACACACACACACGTCATATAGTCTCTCCACAGGTTTTTAATACAAAAATACATGTACATTTCTCGAAGTAAAATATTATTTCTTTCTCATGTATTATAATTGTGGCTGAGGCTCAACAGAAGGAAAACTTCATTGAAAAGAAAAATATAAAACAATTTTTGATACTAACGAAAGGAGAATGAATGTTCTGGTGCCTTTCAATCTTTCCATTTGGTTCCTTTGTTTCTTTAACTGGCAATTTTGGACTGGTAACTGGTAACTTTAACTTGGGACTTAATTGGTAATATAGGTGACAGTCAAAGTGGAAGACAGCATGTGTATAATTTTTTGTTGTAGAGGTGTTTTCTCACATGTGATATGAAATTATGGTTGTGGAAAGAGGAGAGGATGTGGAATTAAGCATGACTGAATTTGAATGCTGTTTGTATGACATATACTTTTAACTTCTCCATAATTCATTTTCTTATCCTTCAAATGAGAAGAATCAATATTTAACTTTATAGGTCAGAATGTGAAAAATCGTCAGAACTGTTTGTACATCACTATGATTTAAAATAAATTTGGTACACTTTGGAGAGAATTCTAAGAAGATCAATATGCACCTCAAAGTGTCTCCTCTCATCCTCTACTCTTCCCCTTTCCCCTCCCAGTTAAAACTGACAATATTTTTTATTTATCTATGGAGTTTTTTTCCCTCACCCTCCTATGCTCAGGGCATACTTTCGATCAGCACTCAGTGATCACTCCTGGAGAGGCTCTGGGGACCAGCCAGGGTCAGCTGTGTACAAGGCAAGCAACATACCAGCTGTCCTAACTCTCCAGTCCAGTAATTTAACAATTATCTTTAAAAGATACAATCATTGTGGGAGACAGTGCATCATTACTTGTGCTCAGTATAAAGTTGCAGGATTTTTTTTTTTTATTTTACAAATGGAAGACTAAGAAAACGCCAAGTCCGGGACTTTGCAAGATCCTTCTCTTAAAGAGAAGGTGGTGTAGGTAGAGGGACAGAAGATACAGAAAGAGATAGAAAGGGGAGGTCACAAAACCGGTAATTTCTAATTAGCACCAAAGTTTTAAAGGGGACCTTTGCGTATAGTCTCTCCTCTAGCCCCACCCCCACCCCCAATCACTGAAGCAAAGAACTGGACCTTGGATATTAAGACTGGTGGTGGCTCAGTCCTATCTCTTCCGTTCATGCAGTCTTACCAGTTCAGAAGTAGCTCCCTATCAGTGCCATACACCGTGAAAGGGGAAGAGAAGGTTTGCGTGTAGGATTCTGATCTCCACCCCTTAACTTTCGAGAAAGCTTTGCTGGGCTTTTTCTATCTTTATTTCTTGAATTCCCCAGGCAATTTTTAAAAGTGCTTTCAAATCAATTCAATGGGGTCGACAAGACAAATCAGTCCTCTCTTTCCCTATTCCCAAACCTTCAGCTCCCCACCGTTGAGCTCTGACAGCGAATGTCCAAGAATTCTTTAAGCTACCGTCACGCAACCCCCACTCTAAACTTTCCCAGGCTGCTGAGCTAAGCAAAGCAGAGACTGCCAATTCTGGGCAAGACTGCCAATTCTGGACGGTGAATGGCCCAGGATTTCAGGCCCTGGAATTGAAAAGCACCCCCCCCCCCCGCCCCCAACCAACTATCCAGGGTAAAACGCACAGATGTGCTCTCTCTGATCAGTGCTCTAATATCTAGCTTAATCAGATTTTGCAGACCCGGCAACTCAGCACAGAGCAACCGGACCCGTGCGTTGCTCAGAGATTTCGCAAGACCTACTCTAACCCTTTGATCTTAGAAACAGTTTCAGGACCAAAATAGCTACTATAAGCTTGTTAGCATTATAAAAGCGGATATATCCGGTCAGAGCTAAAGGAGACCAGTTTGGTCCTCAGGAGTCAAGTCTTTTGGAGCTTTTGAAACTTCTTTTTACTTTTTGAGGGGCGGGGGGGGGGGGTCGGAGTATTTGTTAATTAGGAAGAGAAGCTATTTTTAGGTCAAATATTCACGTTTCACAGTCGAAGAAACAGGCTAGTGAAAATAATTCCATGGAAGTCAGCCAGAGTATTCTTTCAGTTCCAAACTCTTTTTGCCCTCTGAAAGATGAAAAACTACTTTGTACTCTTAAAATCCGATTTCGCTGGGTTGGGGAGGGATGTAAAATGTTAACTGCACGCCGCTGAAAGATGCAGCTGCTTGCATTGGCGTACAGGGTAGGAAAAAACACCCCTGAAACGCCCGAGTTCAGTACGGAGACAAAGCACTCCCCAGCAAGGGACGCGGCACGGCCCTTAGAAAGTTTCTGCACCTGGAGCGTCTCCTCGCTGAGCGCCTGCGCATGCGCAATCCGCGCTCTCCCCCCGCCCCTCCGGGAACGTCAACCGCGCGCCGGGAGGCGGGGCACGCGCTGCGCATGCGCCCTGGTTACCCCGGCCACTTGTTTCCGACCCCGCGGCGGGAGCCGCGGCAAAGGCCCTTGTGTGTTGCGGGTCTCTTGCTCCGCTTTGGCGCAGCGCGCGGGACCCCGAGAAAAGAAGCGTGCAAGTACGTGTCCCCGCGGTCGTGTAGCATCGGCACTAGGGCTTTTCCTTCTCGCTAGGCCGGTGCCTCTAGGACGCGGACCCCGCCCCCTCCCGGGGTAGACGGCCCCCCCGCCCCCCGTCCGCAGCTCCTTCCCGGACCCCTCGTGTTCCGGCTCCCCCGAGACCATGAAGCTCGTGAGGAAGGACATTGAGAAGGACAACGCGGGCCAGGTGACCCTGGTGCCCGAGGAACCCGAGGACATGTGGCACACCTACAACTTGGTGCAGGTGGGCGACAGCCTGCGCGCCTCCACCATCCGCAAGGTGCAGACGGAGTCGTCCACGGGCAGCGTGGGCAGCAACCGGGTCCGCACGACGCTCACGCTCTGCGTGGAGGCCATCGACTTCGACTCGCAGGCCTGCCAGCTGCGGGTGAAGGGCACCAACATCCAGGAGAACGAGTACGTGAAGATGGGGGCGTACCACACCATCGAGCTGGAACCCAACCGTCAGTTCACCCTGGCCAAGAAGCAGTGGGACAGCGTGGTCCTGGAGCGCATCGAGCAGGCCTGTGACCCCGCCTGGAGCGCCGACGTGGCAGCCGTGGTCATGCAGGAGGGCCTCGCCCACGTCTGCCTGGTCACGCCCAGCATGACCCTCACCCGCGCCAAGGTGGAGGTGAACATCCCTAGGAAGAGGAAAGGCAACTGCTCGCAGCACGACCGCGCCCTGGAGCGCTTCTATGAGCAGGTGGTCCAGGCCATCCAGCGCCATGTCCACTTCGACGTGGTCAAGTGCGTCCTGGTGGCCAGCCCCGGCTTTGTGCGGGAGCAGTTCTGCGACTATATGTTCCAGCAGGCCGTCAAGACTGACAACAAGCTGCTCCTGGAAAACCGGTCCAAGTTCCTGCAGGTAAAAGAGTCACATCTAAGGGACAAATAATCCAGAAGGGGGCCAAGGGGCCGGGGTAAAGTAGCCGGCCCAGGTTTTAATCCCGGAAAGTGTAAAATGAGAAAGGCGAGCCTTTGCCTGGTGGGGATTCTAAGATTTAAAAAGGGGACCTGTAAATACCTGGCCCTTGCTTGGGATAGCAAACTGAGGCCCAATTCACGAAACTTACCACCTTTGTAGTTCTCTTGGCTGGGTGCCATTGTGGGTTGATCACTGGGTGTGCGAAGAGATTTCCTGCCTCTAACTTTGAAAATCGTGGTTCTAGGTACACGCCTCCTCGGGGCACAAGTACTCCCTGAAAGAGGCCCTTTGTGACCCCACCGTAGCCAGCCGCCTGTCTGACACCAAAGCCGCGGGGGAAGTCAAGGCCTTGGATGACTTTTATAAAATGCTCCAACATGAACCCGACCGTGCCTTCTATGGACTCAAGCAGGTGGAGAGGGCCAATGAGGCCTTGGCAATCGACACACTGCTCATCAGTGACGAACTTTTCCGGCACCAGGACGTGGCCACCCGCAGCAGGTATGTGCGGCTCGTGGACAGCGTGAAGGAGAATGCGGGCACTGTTCGGATATTCTCCAGTCTCCACGTGTCCGGGGAGCAGCTTAGCCAGTTGACTGGAGTAGCTGCCATTCTCCGCTTCCCAGTCCCTGAACTCTCCGACCAAGAGGATGACTCCAGTTCTGAAGAAGATTAATGACTGGGACTTACCCTCTGGAGGAAACTGGTGTCTGTTACAATACATTGTCCCTGCAACCTTGTGACAAAAATCTGCAAGAGTGCTACAGGGATATCTCATGTATTTGGTCACCTGAGTGGATGGTGGCTATGTGTTCAAACAAAATAAACTAAAAGAAAATAATTTCCGTGCCCTTCGATCTATCAGTTGAGGAGGTTTTTGTAAAGATTTCCGAGTTATTTGCGGTACATAGAAACAAATTTTCTGTATTTGATTACTAGACTTATACACCGTTTTGAAATAGATCATAAACACCCCTCCCCCACCTCTATGGTTGGTAACATTTTCTTTAGGAGAAGTTTTGTACTATCTCCTTATACACAGCCTGGGTTCTTGATTTTAACTCTGCGTGGTGTTCTTACACTGTGTTCAGTGATGCCTTTTCACTTACATGCTTTATTTAAAATTTTTGAATTTATATTTCAAATGATAATTAGGTTACTTATAGTGAAGATGCTGAAAACATTTCTTAAGAGATTTGTTAAGACAATTATACAAAGGAGAACTTTTTTACTTTAGAGCAGTGTTTTTCAACTTTCTCAACCCTTTCTAACCTTAGTAGTCAGCTTCCTGCCTTGTTCCCTTTCTGTGCCTCAACCTCTTATTGACTCCTTAATTTCTTGCCATGGCCCCTCATTTACATAATTTTTCCCTGTGGCTCCCTCTTGGACTACCCAACGTGAGTGGGAAGAGGTCCCTGTTGAAATACACTGCTTTTGAAGACTAATTTCTGTTTTTTTTGGATCATGGAGCTTTGATATGCTACAGATTTGCAAAACAGTCTATATAAGGCATTTTAAAAATGAAACTACGGTTTGTGATTTTCTTGATATGTGGCTAATGAGTGGCCAAGATAGAAATATTTTCCTGTCTGGATTCCAGTTCTTTGCCCTGACACATTATTTGTGTGTTTACTTTTTGTCTTGTCATGGGAAGACAGTGCCATCATATATTTATACATACCTTAACTTTTCTGGACTTTGTCCACTCTATTTTAGGGATGAGAAAGCTTGCTAAGAATATTTGAATAAATCTTCACACATTATAAAGTAGTATCTTTATTAAATATTTTTGATGTGCATTTCTGAGGTGGGAGTCTTAGAAAGGAATTGTATCTTCATCTCATGAGGCGTCAACTTAGTAAAACAAATTAAAAAGGCTTCATAAAAAAAGTGATTGTTTAGAGTTAGTGGTGCTATTTAAATAGAGACAAAGATAACTTGCTTGTGCTTTCTATGCCTGTGGACCATCATCCTCTGTAAATAACATTGGGATGATTTTTTTCTGGACTTTTAAAAAATCTAAGAATAGATAGTTTTATGCTCTTAAATTTACATTTATATTTTTATCATTACCTCCACATCTAAAAAAGTGCATGGCCATTTCATATTTAACTTTTAAATATTAGGAGTTTGTTGGTGAATAATTTAATATTCTAGACAAAGTCACTAAGATTTTTAGCATTAGAGTGTGATTGGGAGAAATTTGAAGATATCACTCTTCAGTGCTTGAGGAATCAATTACCTGATCTATATAGTACTGATAATTAGCAGAGCTAGTTTGTTGCTGCCTCTATTAATTAAAGCTAGAATATAAAAATTTAAAAATTTGTAATTTTAACAAGGGAAAATATACAAATTAATATTTGATAGACCCTAGGCTTTCAAATGCATCTACCCTGTTAACGTGGCCTGCTGTGTTTTAAAACAATGCTCATACCTGACCCAGGGCTCAATAATTTTTCACCTTAGAAGTACAGGGTTTTGTTTGTATGGGTTTTGGGGCTATATCCAGCAGTGTTCAGGGCTTTGTGCTCAGGCATCACTCTGGGAGGGGTTGGAATCTAACGGCTTGCCCAGGAAATCATACGGGATGCCAGAGATCAAACCCAGGTGGGCTGCAGTGCTCTTTGATGGTCCAATAGAATGGTTATAGTGCAGATCAAGGCTGTGAATCACTGATTCAGACCTTGCTATTCAAAAGTATGATCCTTGGATCTGTAGGATCCTCTAGATAATATTAAAAATAGTAGATAAAAATAATAGATTATAAAAAATAATAGATAAAGCCTCGGAGAGCTTGACTAGCTACCGAGAGTATTCAATATGCCAAGCATAGTAACAAGAAGTCTCACAATGGAGACATTACTGAGCCCGCTTGAGCAAAATCAATGAACAACTGGAGGACATCTCTCTCTCTCTCAAAGCCAAAATACGAGGCTTTATCCTAGATCTGCTAAGTCAAAACTTTTAATGATTGTATTATGGATAGGATTCAATCTCCAGTTGGAGCTAGAGAGAACAGCAGGTAAGGTTGCATGGGGCTAATCTGGATTTGATATCCGGCATCTCATATGGTTCCCTGAACACTGCCAATAGTGATTCCTAGGTGCAGGACCAGGAGTAACCCCTGAGCAGAGCCAGGTGTGACCCAACACCAAAACCAAAAGAATAAAAACAATAGAAATATAATATGATAAAGGCAATGGCTTATTTTCTCTGTGCTAGTGAATCTCTGGCAGAGTCACTACCATAGAGAAAAGGATTTATCATCTAAGCTCCTCTAAGACAATTAAACTGACTAAAATTCTGTTTTGCTACTGATGAAACTTCTCCAGTTCTATGTCTGCATAGTGTTTAAAACAAAACATCTTTTAGTGTTTTTCTGCTTCTAAAAGTTGAAAAAAAGACTTTGCTTTTTAAAAGTTGCATTTTTGTGCTATGTTGAGTTTAAATATGCCAGAATAGCACAGCGGTAGGGCGTTTGCCTTGCAGGCAGCCAACATGGCCAACCCGAGTTCGATTCCTCCGCCCCTCTCAGAGAGCCCGGCAAGCTACCGAGAGTATCTCGCCCGCACGGCAGAGCCTGGCAAGCTCCCCGTGACGTATTCGATATGCCAGACACAGTAACAACAAAGTCTCCAATGGAGATGTTACTGGGCCCACTCAAGCAAATCGATGAACAACGGGAGGGCCTTTACCTTGACCTTTATCTTACCAATCTTTAATGCATTTACATTATCTGTTTTTTATTGTCTATTTTGAACCAAGTCTGAGCTGGCTTTAAAAAAAAATGAAATTACACTCATCAGTCTTTTTTACGTGTGTGTGTGTGTGTGTGTGTGTGTGTGTGTGGTGGGGAAGTATTACATTCAGCAAAGTTCAGGTGGTTACTTCTGGCTCTGCACTCAGGAATTACAACCGACAGTGTTCGGGGGACCATATGGGATGCCAAGGATCAGACCCACATCGACTGTGTGCAATATCCTACTGCTGTACTGTTGCTCAGGCCTCTTGTCTTATAAAAATAACGTGAACAAAATGTAAGAGGTTACAGTAATGTGACCTAGATAGGGCCAGTAAATTCATCTAAAATGGTGAGAAGAAGCTTGAGAGTATCAGGAAAAGGAGATAAGTGTGAATGTGTCAAATATATTAGACCCTCCTTTCTATTACAATGTGTGTGTTCTTAAGAAGTAGCTGCTAAAAAGTTTTGCAGGAGAACAGCATGATAAACAGTAGATTTCATCCAGCATCTCTGGCAGTTTAAACAGGTGCATTGGAGGAGTTAAGAAAACTGGTTAAGGGGCCCAGAGCACTAGTAGAACAGATTGGGTGCCTATCTTGGGTCAAACCCAGGGTTTATCACTGGTGCCCCATATGATCTCCTGAGCTCTCTAGGAGTGATCCTTGAGCACAGAACCAGGAGTAAGCAGGAGTAAGCTCAACATTGTCGGATGTAGCCCCCTCCTCCCCAAAAAGAACCTGGTTAAATGCATATTAGAAAAAGTCAAGGAAAAATTGATGATGACCTAAAGAAAGACAATAGATTCTTTAACATAAGAATGAAAATTCAAAAAATACTAGGCAACAGAATCGTAAGAACTTGGTCTGCAGATAAGAACTTGGTTGCTCAGTGTTCAGAGTTATATAAAAACTAGACATGGACAAATCTCAGGATATGTTTTCTTTAATTGATTTCTTTTTATTTAGCATATGTCTGTAGCAGCAGTACCATAAGGACAGAGAATATTTTCTATTAAGGTTTGTTGCTTGTATCCCAACATTAAAATCATCTCTGCCAGAGCTGAGGCTCATAAAGCTTTTGACTAATGAATGACAAATGAGAAGATCCAATGAACATTTGCACATGCAAGTTAAAATTCAGAAAAACTAGTCAGTTGAGATATATGTAAACCTAAAAGCTTTGATAAAAATAAAATGACCTAGTAAGAACTAGTAAGCTGGGCAAAAAGGAATACAAGATACAAAAGTATAGCAAGAAAGCAGTATTTAAGCTCATACCACTACTAAAGTTCATTATCTATCTTCATTCAAGGCAGAGGTGTTAAGTAAAAAGTTCAACAGAAAGTGATCAGATAATTATTTTTTTCCTAATAGTACTCTGCTGTGTACTGTGTAGAATTGCAGTTTTTAAAAAGGATAGAAGGAGGTGACAAATTGATTGTTGGACTTCTTTGGAATTACCATAATACGGAAGTTCTTTACCCACTCAGATCAAAGGACTTATGCTATTAGACCATTAGCCAAATGCTTCAATACTTACATGCTACCTTTGATTTTCCTTACCACTTTCTCTAATACTTATGCAGAACTCCAAATGTCAGGGTTAATGATAAAAGTTTTACAGAGTTTTACTTATATTTGTTTTGGACACTAGATTTTGATCAGTCTGTAATTTTTATGATATGCATTCTTCAATAAATGGTTTCCCAAATGGAGAAATCTTAACTACAAACTTGGAAAAGAAAAAGAAAAGAAAAAAATCATTTTTAAGTAAAGTTTTAATACCTAAATAAAATAGTTTTATTTATATTAGTATATTTAAGCTTTGTGCTATATAGTACAGCTATTATGGCCTAAAATTTAGTGTTTCAGAAAAGGACTTTTCAAGGTTTTCTAATGCAAATCTTAGGACTTGTGACAGTTCAACAATTCAGAATTGTCAGTTTAGAAGTTTAGTTGTTGTTCTTAATGTTTTTGATGAGGTAAAAGAAAAGCATTACTGAAACATCAATAATGAAGTCAAATGCCGTTGGTTGCGAATATATTTTTGTGAATCAAGAAAAGATTAAAAAAATCAATGCAATTATGTAACTAAGATGTTATGAAACAAGACTTATACCAAGGTCATGGAATTTAGCAAAAAAAAAAAAAATGATCAATGGAGTTACTTAACCTGGTGAACAAGTA